GAACAGCAAGATGAAGAAAGAATGTTAAAGCCAGAGGATGGAGTTGGGTAGAGTGTGGTGAGACACTTTCTTCTGGACATGATGTAACCATTGACCTCTTGAACTCTCAGAAACAGATTACCTGCTTAAGACCTGCATAGAGCCCATCAACCCTCTATCATAGAGGGTAAGGGGCTCCCTGAGCATCTATAGACAGTTATTGGTTGCTGGGAGACAGATAAACATTTTCTTCAGTGTTGTAACTACTGGTAAGTTGCCCATGCTCCTATAATAACCCCTCATCCATATTCCTATACGTAATCTTCTGTAACCTTAATTAAACTTATTGTTTATACACACACACATACACAATGTGCAAGTAGAAGGGGAACTATCTGTGATGAGAAAAGAGATCATCAGCAGGAGTGAGAGAGAGACAAGAGGGTAATGAGGATGTATATACATGTATTAAAATATAAGAAAACCATGTATGTGCCAAACAAATAATTACAGCTTCCTCATTGACTCTATAGTAAATCTGGCCTCATTCACTATTTGGCAGGAAAGCGTAATGTCTTACCTAGTTTAAACAATTCTAATAGGAATTTCTGGGTCTCTAACTAACAGAAATGCTGCTTGCAGGCTGGCCAAATGGCTCAGCAAGGAAGGGCACTTGCTACCAAATTTGACAACTAGAATTTGATCCCTGGGATCCACGTGGCAGAAGGAGAGATCCAATTCCCATACTTTGACCTCTGACCTGCTTCTTCCAAGCAATGTGGAGACCTGTGGGGAGAAGATCGGCAGCTCCAACTTCACAGTACTGTACGGAGTCAGGGTCCACAGAGGCAATGGTCGACAGAGGCGATGCTCCCCACATCTTTCTCCAGATGTAGACATTGATTTACCAGCTGGGGAAGAAAGGGTTTCTTTAACCTTACAGATTACAGTTCACCATGAAGTGACGTTCGGGCAAAGGCTAAAGGCAGGAACTGATGGGGAGACCTGAAGAAGTGCTGCTTATTGGCTTGTGCCCCATGGAGCCATCAGCCTGCTTCCTTATAGCACCCATGACTACCACCTGTGTAGTGATGATGTTACGCACAGTGATAGGCCTGTCCACATCTATCGTCACTCACAAAAATAAAAAAGCTTCGCAGACTTGTACTTCCTCAGCTGAGGTTTCCTCCTCCCAAACGATTCCAGCTTGTGTCAAATTGACACAGGAATGAACTAGCACAGATGTCATTCAGTATGGGACTCCGCTGGATAAGGTTGAAGTTGGATGGCTCTGGATGGTCAGTCATTTGCACTTGGTCTGTGACATAGACTGCTTTTTCTCAGCAGGGTTTGGAAACATCTCCCCTAATCTGGGTAATTCCAGGATTTGTAACAAGGGCACATACCCCTTAGGGCAGATTACAGGCCAGACTCTTCCCTGATAAGGAAACTGCTCTAGCAAGCATCTGGGAATTCCTAGAAACTCCACCACCATCCTGCTAAGGATCTTAGTCCAGGAGTGACCTTCAACTGTACTTGGAGATTTGCCCTGCCCCGTCCCCCACCCCAAGGATAATTAATTACTGTATTTTCCTTCTTGTGATAAGACCGGTTAAGTATCCCTGACCCCAGAGAATAGAAGACATTCACCCTCGAAATCCCTCCCTCTGCCCAGGGTTTATATTACCCTTGATTTCACATGAATAAAGGTACACAGGTTCGCGCTTTCTCACTTCAAGACCGTCTGAGATTCGTCATTTATCCTCTGCCTGGTTTCCTCTCACTGGACCTGCCCTCCGGCCCACTCTTCCTGTGCCTCTCCTGGCCTGTGTCATAGCTGCAAACCAACCAGGCATGGGCCTTGGCCATCACCTCTGCCATGCTCAGCACAGCAGCTGGACCAAGAGCTGGAACACTTTGGTATATCTCCGTAAGCTTTGGAATTGCCACTGGCGACCTCATGCTAAAAGAGCTAAACTGTAACACTCTATGGAAAACCTTTTCCATATCTGGCTTAACATGTTCTCCGTCTTGAAACTGAACTCCAGAACTCCCACCCCACCCTTTGAAAGGAAAACAACAATTCAGATAATTTAATCCTGAAACTGAGAAATCAATGATTCGGATGAATATGATAAAGGAAGTTGTGGTAGTTTGAATGAAAATAGTGTCGGTTTTTCATTTTGCTTTATTACCCCTACATACATGCTTAAGTATTTAGGAAGGAAATGGAATGGCATCCTGCTTGGATAAAATAGTGGACTTCCTGCGGCCACCATCTGGATGGGGGATGAGTAGGTGGGTTTAATTGTCTTGTTTTGTTTTGCCTTGTTTTTATTTTTGAGACAGGGAGGGTCTCATGCAGCCCTGGCTGGCCTCCAACTCTGTGAGGCTGATGCTGACTTTACCTCCCATCTCCCACCTCTGCTCACCAGTATTAAGATTATGGGCATGTGCCAGCATGCCAGGCTTACACAGTTGGAGGTTAAGGATTCAGGGACCCATGCATGCTAGGCAAAAGTTCTGCCAACTGAGCTATATTCCCAGCTTTTTCTGTTTCGGTTTTGGTTTAGATTTTTTTTTTTTTTAGACAGAGTCAGCTTGAGGCAGGCTAGAAAGACAGGAAAAATTAGGGGAACACAAGAAGGAGAAGGAGTCTTCACTCGGGAATCCGGTTAAAGTGTTTTCCATCTAAGAAACAAGAATGCCAACGCTGCTGATGTTTTCTGTAAATGCTGCTAACATAAATGTAGAAATATCATTCCTTTCACATACAGATATGTTATGTTACACATGAACCTGGCTTGAGGTTAGCGTGTCTGTGACCTGGGGTGGGGCCTCACTCCTCTCCCTGGATGTTGTGGGAGAATCTCAGAAAGACGGTTAGCTGTGTGTAATAAAGGTTGTCTTGCTCTCCTATGATCTAAGCCTTTACTTATCAATAGGGTCCTCAGCCTTTCTTGGAAGAAAATAGCTTCTACACCCAACAAAATTATTGTAAACGTGGTGAAATATGACCCCCTTTTAGAGAGCCCCACACCTGAGTTCTAGGACGTGCTTTAGCTTTCTGAGATCCTCCTTCTTTGAACTCTCTTCTGAAACCTCAATTAAAAGTATCTTCAGTAGGACCCCAAATCTTCACCTATTGCCCAGTCCTGGCACTTTTTTCTGCATTGAAAGCCATGAGTCCCAGTTTGGTTCTAGAAGATGAAGGACTCTTATCAGGTTGCTGAGGGTGACACTAGAAAGCTTTGTTCCTGTCCCTCACACATCACTCACAGTATCCTGTGACAAGCTGGCAATGAAGATGCTGTGTAGTTAGACTGGCTTCTGGTCCTTTTGCCTTCACCTCCCATGTGCTGGAACACCATGCAGGGCTCCTTCTAGTTTTTGAATTTGAAAATGTCCATCATAAGAGAAGTGTTTATAGTTTTGAAGGACACAAAATGTTGGCATTAATTTTAATTATTTTTTACATTTTATTTTATGTGTATGAATGTTTTGACTATATGTATGTCTGTGCACCATGCACATACAATGCCTGGGGAGGCCAGACAAGGGAGCTGGATGCCCTGAAACTGGAGTTATAGTTAGTGATGAGCCCCTTGTGGGTGCTGGGAACCGAACCCAGCTTCTTGGAAGAGTGTCCAGTACTCTTAACCACTGAGCCATCTCTCCAGCTCTTTCATTAATTATAAGAGACTGGGATATGTGGTTTCTGATCCTCTCTCTGAACTTTATTGTGCATTTTTCATATTTATTGTGCCAATTTTAAGACTTTGTAGGGAAGAGGGGGACAAATATAGAAAGGTCACCTTTTCCTAGTATGCCTAGGGGGATGGGAAACTTCAGTCACATGTCTCTCTACATTTTTTTCCAAACAGTATCAGCATGTGTTCTCTCACTGGCTCCATGATGGTGCTAGATTTTATTTAGAAAGCTATAAACTGAAACTCAGGTTTGTCTGTCTTCCTAAAACCACATGTATATAGACAGGAGCATTTCTCACTGTTTTTTCCCAGGGCCAGATCCCATCCTCCACAGCATGGGGCTTGACTTAAAATCTCAAGAAAGTTAAAAACAAAACAAACAAACAAAAAACCCCACATACTTAAAAGAGGATGTTTTCTTAGATGCTGAAATCTATTGTCTAAAGAAATCAAATGTGAGGTATAGAGATGAATAACTTGCCTTCCTTCTCTGCCTTCCCCCTCTCCTCCCACCTTCTCCTTTCCTTTTTTTTTAAATTCAATGCCTTTTCTCCCCCGCTTCTTCTTCCCCGGCCTTTCTTCCTCTGTCTTTTCCTATCCCTTCTCCCTTTCCCTCTCCCTCTATGCCCCTTCTCCCAGACCAAGCACTTGGCATTTTCTTGAGTTGGAAAGGTACAGCCGGAACACAGCAAAGTGTCCTGGGCCTGGAGAGGAATTAGTCATTGCCATTACCACTGCAGGCAGGCAGCCAGGAACAGCTGTGCTCTTTTCTTGAGGCTGGAGTGCACCAGGAAACTGACCTGGGTGTAGAATCTACCATCTGCTCAGAACTGCCGCTGGCTGCACTGGGGCGACAGACACCTCCTCAATCGCCCAAGGACGAAGAGCGCAAGCAGTCAAGCTTAGGACTACAGGGAGGGAAACTCTGAATTGCAATCGGAACTACTGAAGGCCAGCAGCCAGGGCAGGAGACAAATGGACGAGGTTGGAGTCAGGTGTGGAAGCAAAAGCAGCAGAGTGGACCCAAAGGAATTTGCCTCCGCAGTGAAGACAGCATCAAGGAGCAAAAGGGAGATCACCGGCTTGTACAGGTGAGCCCCCCCCCCCCCCCCCGAGCTTCTGGGGACAAAAGCAGTCTTACTGGGGAGGGGGTGTCACTGAGGCCCTCTGGGGCTTCTTCCAGAGCAGGGGTGGGGATGCTGAGTCACAGATCTGTCACCACTTAGCACCTCTCTGCAACCCCGGGGGCTAAAGCAAAAGCGAAAGCGAATGCTCCTGGCTGCCGGCTGGTCTTGGAGCTGAGCTAGGCACCTCCAGGGACCCCAGCCTTGCATCCCGGTGGGTCACTGCGAGGGACGATCAGCCATGGTCTCTCCGCGGCTCCGGGGCTGTGGAATCCACGCCCTCCTGGTGTTGCTGCTGCTGCTACTGCTGCTGCTCCCGCTGCGGGTGTCATCGGGTAGGAAGCGTCATGCGCCCAAGCAAGGGCGCAGAGGGGGACCCCAACACCCAGCTGAACTTGACCGGTGGGGGTCACATCTTCCCGGGGCCACGCCAGGGGTCCAGCTGGAGAGGGTCGCTGAGGGGCGTGAGGGGTTAGGGAAGGACACATGGAGGCAGCCTGGGAGAGCACAGATATGACCATGGCCCCTTGCCCTTCTTCAGGCTGGCTCCTGGGCCATGCGTGCCAGAGAGTCGAGCGACCCCACTGGCGGCTTTTTGGTGACTTAGGGAGGAGAGCAGGTCTGACGAGATCAGCAAGAGTTAGGGAACTTGGAGAAATGTAGGAGTGTGTTTCTGCCAGCCCATCCGCACAGCTCTGGGATGCCGCGCCGCGTTGTGGGGTTCCAGGAGGGGCTGGAGGAAAAAACGCACCTCAAGACTCTCAGGTCCAAGTAAATTAGATGGTAGGCACTGGGCAAAGGACTGCGCTCCCGGGGCAGGTTGTACATCTGAATGCTGGGAAACAAGTCCCAGTTCTCAACCGCACAGGAAACTCCGTGCTGGGATGGTTGGAGCAGAGACTGTGCTCGCAGAAAAGAGGGGGTGTTGTATGTTCCAGAACGTGTTGACTAGATCTCATCTCATTGAGAAGAATGAATGAGACTCCTAGTTTTGTTCCGATAGGTCTAGAAGGAAAGAGAAAGAACAGATGAATTTAGTAATGTCCCAACCCGGGACCTTTCATCTTTTTATAATTATGAAATTCTTCAGTCTCATAAAAATCTATGTACTCTCTGTACAGAAATGTGCAAGAAAGCACATGCTTGCAAATATGCACATGATTTGGGGGCCAAGAAGTCATCAATGGATTTGCCTGTGAGTTAGCAATTCCTCATCCCTGAGAGTGTTTTAAAGCAAGATTTCCCAGATGGGCAGCTAACCCTGTCTCCTTGGGATTTGGTCATAGTTATCCCACTCAGACATGCTCCTGGTGTTGGTTCTGTAGAGGTGTTGTGGAGTTTCGTTTTCCCTCGGCTGTGATTCTTGCCTCCACCCCCACCCCCCCATCTGTAAAGCTGGGTTTTGTTGGTAAATTCCCCTTAACTGGATACCAAAGAATGTGGTCCTGAGATGCCAGAAATAGCCTACAGCTATTTCAAATAGCCTGAAAGTGAATGTAGTTTTAGTGCAGCACAGTCTAAAGGAAGTGCCTCCCTTTTGCCTGAACAATGTCTTTCTGTCGTTATGGTACCCTACTGGGTCAAAACTAACTCAGGTAAACTGAATATATTTAAATTGTGCATTTGTTAAGTTTCTAAATAAAAGCATATGCTCTTGAAACTATCAGCACAATCAAGACAGGAACATGCCCATTACTGTCAAGCTCCTCGTGTCCTCCAAAATCCTTATCTCCTGCCCTGCTCTGCAATGGCTTATCTTTTTTCTTTGAATTTGTTGCACTTTCTAGAATTTTACACAAATGGAGTTTTACAGCATGTTTTTTGTTTGTTTGTTTGTTTGTTTGTTTGGTATGGCTTCTTTAGCTCCGTAATTATTCTTTGTTCATGTTGGAACTTGTATCAACAGTAAATTCCCAGCACTCTGAAGGCTGAGGCAGGAGGATCTCTAGCTCAAGGATAGTCTGGGCTATATAGTAGGACCTAAAAGCTTAAATAAATAAGTAGAAGAGTGGCTGCTGAGGAGATGGCTTAGTGCCCCCCAGATTTGAGAACCTGGATTCATGTGAGCTGGGTACACGCACAGCACAATAGGGTGGGATGAGAGGCAGGGACAGAAGAATTTCAGGTGGGAAAACAAGAGGGGGGAAGGGAGAGGGGAACGAGAGAGAGAGAGAGAGAGAGAGAGACTCAAACAATGTAGAAGGTTGTTTGACTACTCCCTTCACCTCAGCATCCTTTACATACCCAGCTAAACAACTAATTATTGTTAGAGCTGTGGTTGAGCTTTAATCGTCTCCTGACTATTGGGTATTTGGGTGGTCTCAGCATGGCACTATTTAAGAGTCAATATGTTGGGTAACTATATTCTCTCTTCTCATCATCAGCCTCTTCCTCTTCTTCTTTTTCCTTCTCCTCCTCCTCTTCCTTTCTTTGAAACAGGGCTTACTGTGTAGCACTGGCTGGCCTTGAACCTTCTAAGTAGACCAGACTGTCCTTAACAGAGGTCTGCCTCCCAAATGTTCATCACTATCCCTGGCCCTGCTGCTTCTTTTCCTTATATAGTCCCTTCAATGTGTTCTAAGAATCACATTAGTGTCCTTCATCACATATGGTAGTAGTTATTACTGGAAGGCTTCTCCCTTGAAAGAGTTAATATTCTTTTGGCCAATACAGTAGGGGACTTTCAGGTCTGTGGAGGAAGTACATTGCTAGGCTGCATGATGGATGGGTGCTCTAAGACTGTAGCAAACAAAGTGTAATTAGGAGATCCTGAAAACTACAAGTGAGATTAAGGTTTCTGCAATAGATCAGTGAGTGGTGAAGAAATCCTGAAGCAGAGGTGGTGTCTCTGGGAAACTGGAGCAAGATAATCCCTCCGGAGTCCAAACAGTATGGAACAGGTTTCATTCTTTTCCTGTCGTGTGATCTACAACTTTGTACCCACCCAGCCTTCTCACCCTCAAAGTTGATTGGGAAACGTAGCTAATGGACCCAAGGGGTAAAGGAGAATGGATGAGTTCAGGGGAAATGAGCTGAGTACAGCCTGTCCTTATTGCACCATAAGGAAGTATGTCGGGTTGCCTGGCACTTCAGCCAGGAAGAAAAATAGGTTACTGGGAGCCTAGATGTCCTGACTCTTTCTTTGGGTGTGTTTGATTCAGAGTGAGCTTCTGGAGGGCAATAGCCACATTTTCTCTTCTCGGTGTCTTACTGCCTATCACCATGTTCAAATGGGAGAGTAAGGAAAAGAAAATGCTGAAATGAAGCCTGACTCCACATAAAGAATGGGAGGGGCACACTAACCTGACCACTCTTGAACTCCAGATACAAGAGTAGGCCAGGGCTCCTTGCCCATCTTAGACTCTTGTGAACCAACTTGATAAAGAAGCCTGATCCACAGGTTCTGGGAAACAGAAAGGGGTGTAGCCTTGTGCTTCATGCAAATGATCATTATGACTAGCTATGTAAGTTAGCTCCAGTTTCCATAACTTCATATACTATATGCTCCCAAATTAGAAATACCTACTGTGTATGGGGCTTAGACTTGAGAAAGGAGTGCTAGAGAACTGTGAAATACACTTGCCGTCTTCATGGTGCTTATAATCTGGCAGACAAGATGAGACTTGCTTACACTGGACATCTCCCATCTAAATACCAACCAGGCCTGACCTTACTTAGCTTCCAAGACCAGGCAAGACCTATTGTGTTCAGTACGGTATAGCTATAGACTTACATTGAATATCTTAGGATATATATGGATATATATACACATGTATGTGTGTGTATATAGAGAGAGATTGTGTCATTGTAGTATTAAAAGATATAATTAAGGCTGAAGGAAATGAAAGTTAAAAAATATTTCATTGTAATGTGAGACCATCTAGCTTTGTAAATTAACCGCCACTTGGCTGTTTGGATTGACAGCAGTATTTTGATATCCTTGTACATTCAAGTACCAACTATTCCTATGTTTATCTCTGAGTACCATTCACTATGGAAAGACCCAATATAGACTTCCTTTTTTAGCAGAAAGACAAAGTAAATAATGCAAAGCCATCTTAGAACAAAACACCCAGGAAAAATTAAAATAACATAAATACCTCTCTAAATTGATGGTTGGTAGAAGAAAATTTTGCTGTTCAAAACAAAAACAATAATAACGCATTAGTGTACTACAGTGGATGTAAAAGAAAAATGTATGATAACCACAACACAAGGCCTAGGAGAGAATATATGGAGTATAGTCTTTAAGGCTATGTATGTGTGTATGTGTGTGTGTGTGTGTGTGTGTGTGTGTGTGCATGTGTTTGCCAAAGGAGAACGTTCAATGCCCTGTTCTATAACTCTTTGCCTTATTCCTTTATGATAGATGTAATTAAGTAGTTCTCTCGCTGAACCCGGAGCTAGGCTGGCGGAGATCCTCTTGTCTCCCCACCCTCAGCTCTGGGGTTGTACGCGCACACAACCACACCTAACTTTCTTACATGAGTGCTGGGGATTTGGACTCAGATCTTCACACTTGGACAGCAAGAGCTCCCACTGGCTGAGCTATCTCTCCAGCCCTGTTCAGAGTTCTTATATTATAGGTGTGAAGTAATAGAATACCACTTGGTGGTAAACAGTGGTACCCTAAAGCAACCTATAAAATAGTACAATAATGCAGCTGGGTGTGGTGGCTCATGTCTATAATTATAGCACTAGCAACAGCGAGAAGGATAATTGCTATGAGTTTGAAGGAACACTGGTCTAAATAGTTTTAGGCCAGCCTGAGCTACATAGTGAGCTCATGTCCAAAACTAAAACTCAGTCAATGAAACTAATAAAAATAAAATGCAATAATGATTTCATTAATAAGACAATAAAGGAGATAAAATGGTATCATGAAATATGTTCAAGCAAGTCATGGCCTGATCATGTCCTCAGGAAATCCCATAGGACCTATAGAATGTTATTCAGTTTGTAGAGACTGTATAATACCAAGTCAATACATTTTTTGGTTGTTAAAAAAAAAAAGCCACAGTAAATAACAACTTAAACACATTATTTCCATTGACATCAAAAATATTAAATCCAGAACCCATGAGGCCCTGACCCAACCTGAGTAGTTGCCAGTTAATGGCTCCTGATGTCTGGGGAGCCACTTCTACTTATTGGTGTAGCCAATAACTCCACGCCCATGCTTGTGAAAGCAACTGTACTAAAGCTCTGTGTGTCATGGTTCAGCAGCTAAAAGTACAGGCTGCCTTTCTGGAAGACTTAGGTTCACAACCATCTGTAACTCCAGTTCCAGGGCGTCCAGCACCTTCTTCTGTCTCTATGGGCACTAATTAAGAAA